AACTTCAAATACTTAAAGTAATATGATTTTCTCCTCTCTCTCGTTTAACAGCGTATTTTCTACTACAAATCTTGTTATTTATCGATTGGTTTCTTATACAATCGTGTTACATTTATCTTGCCAGAAGCCCGAATGGTGACTTCTCGTGTTGTTGAGCTCCTTCCACGTTTAGATTTTAGAGTTATCATGATCGTCGATCGGCATTAACGTATTGAATTAAGCTTACGCATACACGAGTAGGCCCGACATCTGTTGGCAACATTTCTTGGGGTCAACATTATCTGCCGTCATTATGAGTACAGAGTACTAAAGTAAGGCTTATGATTACTACCTTCCACTTTCCTTCACAAACATCCATAAATTTGGCAACAAAATATTTACACTTCCCATCCATCCAACAAAATATGTAACAAAAACAATAACTTAGAACAATTTCATTAGATTTCTCAATTTCATGCCTGCAAATAATCTTCTCTATAAAAAAATAGAAAAGGCCATTCAAAGTAGGAATTTTGAAGAGAAATGATTTTACTGGATGGAGGGGAGTTAGGGAAAGCCAGGAAGCCGCAGCATGCCCGAGTAGCAAGGAACGTAAGTGGGTGTGTGTAGGGCTGACCAATCGGGCCAGCCCGTCTCCGTACAATACCAGTGCTCTGCTTGGCCTGTCTGCCGTGGTCTCTGAGAATTGAGAAATACAGAGAGGGATTTGTATTTGTGAGTCGCGAAGCTGTGCTAAATTAGGCATAAATGCTGTAGTCTTTAGTTATGCCTAAAAATTTTATTTTCTTGGTTAATTTATAAGAAATTTGCTATTTTTATCCACCATTTCTATATATCTATCCACTCCTTAAAAAATGATAGTTATATTCAAGTCACATTTTTTTTGTTATAAATACATAATCATTATAATTGCATTAATCTTTATTTATTATGAAACTTATATTCTTAACTTTTTTCTTTATCGCCTTCTTAATTTTAACATGTCATTAATCACAAATTTTATCATTAATCATGATTTTTGTCTTAAAATATTGTTAAAGTACTTTAAAACGAGGGTAAAATATTTGATCGTATTTTTGCAAAATTATTTATTTTATTATTTAAAAATAGAATGACAAATGAGTCATTTTAGCTATTGTTTGGTGTCTACTGTTATAAAACTTTTTTTGCTGTGTGGTCATTTTTAAACACACATTTAAACAATAAAGTATTTTGTACGTAAATTCAAAATTTTTCCATACTTTTTAATCACGCATTCTCCTAAAAATACTAT